ATATATATTGTTGCTGCTGCTGCTGCTGCTGTTGCTGCTGCCACTGCTGCTGCTGCCACTGCTGCTGCTGTTGCTGTTGCTGCTGCTGCTGCTGCTGCTGCTGCTGCTGCTGCTGGTGTGTGTGTGTAGCATTAGCTCACCCATACTTTAGCGAGGCCCCGCCCCCCAGCTGCGTTCGTTTGCTGTCGGCAGCAGCAGAACCACAAAACCCCAAAACTAAAAAACACTGCCGCACGCAGGAACATCCTGCTGCTGCTGCTGCTGCTGCTGCTGCTGCTTCGGCTCCTGATGATGGAGGTACAAGACAGACACACTTGCTGCTGCTCAGCTTGTTGCTGCTGCTGCTGCTGCTGTCTGCTGCTGCTGCTGTCTGCTGCTGTCTGCTGCTGCTGCTGTTGCTCCTGCTGCTGTCTGCTGCTGCTGCTGCTGTCTGCTGCTGCTGCTGCTGCTGCTGCTGCTGCTGAGAGTGTTGTTCTGTTTGTGTTGCTGCTGCAGAGGAGGGCGTCGATGAGGCCGCGTGGGTCGCCTCCTTAATCAAACGCCAGAAGGCAGCATAAACTACCCAGCTGCCCCCCTAGCTAGCTAGCTAGCTAGCTAGCTAGCTAGCTAGCTAGGGGGCTGGCTAGCTAGCTAGCTAGCTAGATAGGGGGCTAGCTAACTAGCTAACTAGCTAGCTAGCTGAATAGCTAGTCGGAGAGCTAGCTAGCTAGCTAGCTAGCTAGCCGAACCACTCATTTATCTAGCTTGCTGCTTTACTAGCTGCCTAGCTAGCTAGCTAGCTAGCTAGCTACCCAGACAGCTAGCTGCCTAGCTAGCTAGCTAGCTAGCTAGCTAGCTAGCTAGCTGGAAGGAGAAGATGGTCACTACTACTACTACCCCCTAACCCTAAACCCTAAACCCTAAACCCTAAACCCTAAACCCTAAACCCTAAACCCTAAACCCTAGAAAGCATTAGACAGTGTTTGTATGTCTTTCTATAGAGGGAGGCAGAGTAAGCTGCTGTTTGTTTGTTTTGTGTTTTATGGGTTTCTCTGCTGAGCTTGTTGATGGGGGGTTATAATTAGTTTAAGTTTATTCTTTCAGTTCGTTTTTTCTGCTGCTGCTGCTGCTGCTGCTGCTGCTGCTGCTGCTATGCAGCAACGCAGCGCTCCTGCTGCTGGGCGGCTGTGCAGACACCACAGGCAGACTCATAGACTGCAGCAGCAGCTGCTGCAGCAGCAGCTCACTGCAGCAGCAGCAGCTGCAGCAGCAGCTCACTGCAGCAGCAGCAAACTGCAGCAGCAGCAGCTGCTGCTGCTGCTGCTGTTGCTGCAGTGGTGTAGGTGATGGGGGGGTGGAGGCTTAGAGCTTTCTTTTGGTTGTTTATTGAATTTCTGTTTATATTTTTAGCAATGAATAAATAAATAATTTTTAATTTTATTTATTTTTATTTTATTTATTTTTTTATTTATTTTGTCCATTTGTTTATACTGGGGGGAGAGAGAAGCAGAGCAGCAGCGCCCCTCACGCGGTGTATGTATGCACACCAGCAGCAGCAACCAGAGAACAATAACAGCTGAAATATATTTTATAAATTATTTATAAATAATAAATATAAATTAAAAATAAATTTAATTTATTTTTAGCGTTGCATACACCCCGATGCAGCAGCGCGGAGCTGTACTGCATTGGGGTGTATACGCAGCTCGAGTCATCGACGGTGGTTTCTGCTGCTGCGGTGGGGGGGGTGTTATTTGTATAAATTTAAATAAAAAAATAAAAATAAAATAAAATAAATAAATAAAATAAATAAATAAAATAAATTAAGTTCGTTTTAATTGCATTTAATCAACTGAAAAAGAGAAAAAAAAAGAAAAATAAAAAACACAGAGAGACGCGGTGGTGAGCACCAGCAACCTATGCATGTATTGTACGAAAAAATAAAAAGTTTCATTGAAATAAAATAAATAAATAAATAAATAAATAAATAAAAATAAAATTAATTTATAAAACACAGAAATTCAGGTGTCTATACAGCTCGCATCTGTATTTTTTTTCTGCTGCTGCTGGGTACCCCGGTGCAGCACAGCACCACTGGTGCTGCTGTGTGTTTTTCTTTGTTTGTTTTATATTTTTTTGTTTTAATTGTTTTTATTTATTTATTTTATTGATTTGTTTCTTTTTTTATTTCTTTTATGCCGAAGGATTTTGTCTATTTTCTCTTTTTTACTGCGGCATCGACACCCCCTATTATATAAGAAGATGAAACACAGCTCCACCCAGGCGGTGTTTCTGTGTGTTTATAATTAAATTAATTTATTTATTTTGTTTTTCTTTTTTCTTTTTTAGTTTTTGTTTATTTTATTTGTCTTCTTCAGGTAAAACAGCAGCAGCGCAAACAGCAGCAACAGCAGCATCAACAGCAGCAGCAGCAACAGCAGCAGCAGCATCGCAGTGTGTGTACTTTTTCCTCTTCTTTTATTTATTTATTTATTTATTTATTTTATTGTTTCTTTTTATTTAGTTTTTAATATGTCTACCCCCTAGTGTCTTTGATGCTTGCTTGTCTGCTGTCGCCGAGCAGCAGCAGCAGCAGCAGCAGCAGCAGCAGCAGCAGCAGCAGCAGCACATAGTTGTTTAATATCTCTTCTTCGTCTTCTTTATTTTATTTATTGAGTCTTATCTGCTGCTGCAGCAACTCATATACTGCAGCAGCAGCAGCAGCAAATCATATACCGCAGCAGCAGCAGCAGCAGCAGCAGCAGCAGCAGCAGCAGCAGCAGCAGCAGCAGCAGCAGCAGCGTTTTCTGTAGCTTTTCTCTTTTTTTTCTGTTTTCTTCTTTTTCTGTTTTAATATCCCTTCCTGTTATTGTTGTTATTTGTTATTTAGTTTGTTTATTATAATAAAAATTTATTTTTATTTTTATTTATTTTTATTTATTTTTATTTATTATTTATTATTTTTGTTTATTATTTTTGTTTAGTATTTTTATATAAAATAGAGAGAAAAAGAAAAGAAAAAATATATCTCTTCTGTGTCTTCTTTCTGTCGATTAGGGTTTAGGGTTTAGGGTTTAGGGTTTAGGGTTTTGGGGTGTATATACAGCTCATTCTTTTTTATTTTTCTTTGTTGTTTTTTCTTTCTCTCTCCCTCCGAAGCAGCAGCAATGGAGCTCCAGCAGCAGCAGCAGCAGCAGCAGCAGCAGCAACAGCAGCAGCTGCTGCTGCAGCAGCAGGCAGATGAACGGCCCCCACAGCTGTCTGCTGAGGGTTTAGGTTCTGAGGGTTTAGGGTTTGAGGGTTTAGGGTTTGGGGGTGAGATAAAGAGACGGGGTAAACAGGCTAGCAACCGAAGGAGCAGCAGCAGCAGCAGCCGCAGCAGCAGCAGCAGCAGCAGCAGCAGCAGCAGCAGAAAAAAAAACAATAGATCTGTTGCTCTTCGTATAATTGGTGCTGTATTAGTTATGCTGCTAGCAACACATATATGCCTAATCAAAGGCAGCAGCAGCAGCAGCAGCAGCAGCAGACGCCTAGCAGCAAGACAGCCCCCTGGAGATGCAGATGCAGCAGCAGCAGCAGCAGCAGCAGCAGCAGCAGCAGCAGCAGCAGCAGATAACTATAACCTCTGTTCTCTTATATCTCATGTCCCTCAATTCTCAGCAGCAGAAGACAGCAGCTTAGAGGCAGATTTCAACATGCAGTTGCTGCTGCAGCAGCAGCAGCAGCAGCAGCAGCAGCAACAGCAGCAGCAGCAGCAGCAGCAGCAGAACCCTTCACAACCTGCCTATACACCCGATCATCTGCTGCTGCAGCAAGCGCTAGAGGATGTTGATATAGAGTTGCTGCTGCAGGCGCTGGGAGACACAGCAGCAGCAGCAGCAGAGCAGCAGCAGCAGCAGCAAACGCATGCAGCAGCAGCTGCTGCTGCTGACTCTTCGTTTCCTTTCTTCTCCGCCTCTATCGATGATGCTTCTGCTGCTGCTGCTGCTGGATGGCTCGCGCCGTGGGCAACAGCACCTGCTGCTGCTGCTGCTGCACCTGCTGCTGCTGCTGCTGCTGCTGCACCTGCTGCTGCTGCTGCACCTGCAGCAGCTTTTACATTTGGGGGGTTCAACACANTGCTGCTGCACCTGCTGCTGCTGCTGCACCTGCAGCAGCTTTTACATTTGGGGGGTTCAACACACCTGAAACAGCAGCAACAGCAGCAGCTCCTGCTGCCTTTGCTCCTGCTGCTGCTGCTGCTGCACCTGCTGCTGCTGCAGCTGCTGCTGCACCTGCTGCTTTTCTTCATACTGACAACTGGAGCAGCTTAGGAGCAGCAGCAGCAGCAGCAGCAGCAGCTCCTGCTGCTGCTGCTGCAGGCCCTACGCCTGAAGGGTTTATCCCATTCGCAGCACCAAGAACAGCAAAGCCTGCTGCTGCTGCTGCTGCTGCTGCTGCTGCTGCACCTGCTGCTGCCTTTTCATTTGGGGGCTGGAGCGAAACCACAGCAGCACCAGCAGCACCAGCAGCAGCGACAGCAGCAGCAGCAGCAGCACCTGTTGCTGCTCCTGCTGCTAGTTTTGCTTTTCAGGGTATGATGCGGTCTGCAGCAGCAGCAGCAACACCAGCAGCAGCAGCAGCAGCAGCTCCTGCTGCTGCATCTGCTGCTGCTTTCTCGTATGGATTACCAACACCAGCAGCAGCAGCTCCTGCTGCAGTTCCTGCTGCAGCTGCTGCTGCTGCTCCTGCTGCTGCTGCTGCTGGCTTGCCATTCAACGATTTGAACCGCCCAGTAGCAGCAGCAACAGCAGCACCAGCAGCAGCAGCAGCTGCTGCTGCTGCTGCACCTGCTGATGCTTTTTTGTTGGGGGGCTGGAAGATACAGCCAGCAGCAGCGCCAGCAGCAGCAGCAGCACCAGCACCAGCAGCAGCAGCAGCAGCTCCTCCTGCTGCTCCAGCTGCTGGCTTTCTGTTGCAGGATCTGAACCGGCCAGCAGCAGCAGCAACAGCAACAGCAGCACGAACCTCTTATGCTGCTGCCCCTGCTGCTGCTATGCCGCCTGTATTGCTGCAGCAGCAGCAACTGCAGCAGCAGCAACTGCAGCAGCAGCAACTGCAGCAGCAGCAGCTGCAGTCGCAGCAGTTGGTTCTCTCAGGCCCCTCAGCTGCTGCTGGTGCTGCTGCTGCTGCTCGTGCTGCTGCTGCTCCTGCTGCTGCTGCTGCTGGATTGAATCCAATACACACAGTGCATTGGGGCTGGGACCCGCTTGCATTGCTGCAGCAGCAGCAGCAGCAGCAGCAACAGCAGCAGCAACTGCAGCAGCAGCAGCAGCAGCAGCAGCAGCATTGGAATGTTTCGGCTGGGAGTGTCGCAGCGGGATGGGGTGCAGCACCACTACCGCCTACTGCTGCTGCTGCTGCTGCACCTGCTGCTGCTGCTGCTGCACCTGCTGCTGCTGCTGCAGGCGTATTCGATTACTCTAGCATCAGGCCAGTAGCAGCAGCAGCAGCAGGACGAGCAGCAGCAGCAGGGACAGCAGCAGCAGCAGCACCAACACCATTTGTACTGCCTTTAGGTGCTTCTGTTGCAGCAGCAGCACCAGCATCAGCAGCAG